TCAATTTTGTGGTGAGCGATAAGAATAACGGACCGTAATGGACCTTACTACGGCTCTGTTAAGATTGCGAGATTACCTAATACAATCCACTGCAAAGATATCCTTAGATAGAAGAAATCTAGGGTTGTAAATCTTTTATGCCATAACATCTTGCTCGTGGAATTTCTGCAGGTCTCTCGTAGGATTTAGGGTTTTAGATTCGCTACGATTTTACAGCGCTGGTTGGTAAACTTAACTAACAGGTGCCACTAAATATGTTATGTATCAGTATTTATTATTTTCTTTCTCTGCTTTTTAAATTTTATAAGAGTGTTCTAATAATATGAAGTTCATAATGTAAGAGTTCAGACCTAGCTTTGTATAAATTTATTAGGATAAATCTAGACAGTCACTAGTAGTCTTTAGTTCACTTGACGGAAGGTGAGATACCCCAGCCATAAAAGATCTAAACAAGATGTGCTGTGAGTCAATTTTGGCTTTGGATGTTCGGAAATCCAAAGACTGAAAACGAAACACGATTAAACTTGATGGCTTTTTCATTTGTACGGTGGTTCGGGACGCAGACGGAATTTCGATATTCCATCTAGCGCAGTCGATCTAATGAATATATATGTACATAACATTGCTATACTTATAATGAAGTTAAAATATAAAATTAAAAATTACAATGGATGTAAAAGCTGTTTAGATTTGATAGCCTGTAAAAATGATCATTATGCCGCATTTTATATTCTATAAGGTCATTTTTGAGTGCCATTATATTTTGACATTTATTGGCTATCGAGCTTAGATATTTATCGCCTTTTTCCCAACCGCAAACTCTGCTAATATTGAAAATGCAAACAGATAAAACGGTAATAAACAATTTACAATTTAACGAAAAAGTCATACAATGTTTATCATTTTTTTTCGTACCATATTTGTATCGTAACAATCTATACTAATATTATAAAGCTGAAGAGTTTGTTGTTTAAGCGCGCTAACCTCAGGAACTACTACTGTTTTGATATGATTTTACTGTTTTGCACAATAGATAATGTGGGAAAAACGAAGAAAATTCATCTTTGAGGGTTTCTGTTGCGTGTGCTGCGAACACGGTTCAAGACAGACAAAATATCTATACATGATTATTTAAATAAAATAATTCGCAACAGTATATGCCTATCTTTTAAGATCAAGTCACAAGAACCGTTAAACTTTGTAATTGTAGTTAAAAGATTGAAATGTGGTGGGGAGACCACTCCCCGTGACCACCGAAACATCGGGATTGGGCCGAAGTTAAAAATCATTTTCAAATAAGTTTAACTTTAAATATATCGCGTTTTAAACCGTTAAAGTGTTTTATTCAAATGTGTACTATTCGCGTAAACTATAGACAGTATTTAGATATGTAAGAGTTCTTTTTTCAGCTTTAACTACATAACGTATTAAAATATTACATATCCATTATATATACCAATATTCTCGTAAATAATAAAACTTTAAGAGAGTCAAATTAGTATGCTTTCAAACCATTGTATGTATTAAAGTTCGTCTTTAATTCCTTTGAAGATCACATACTCATATATCAGAATTATCTTCTATCTACTGGCATAGTTCTATAAACCTTATAACCTCCTGGTACACTGTTCTTTGAATTTTGTTCTCTGTTGCGTCACTAACCTTGAACTTTTCATATTCAATGTTTTGAATGGCATTTCTTGCATTGATACTGTATTTAAATTGAATAGATAATCATCTCAATATCGTTTCAACGTTTCAAGTTTTATAACGGATGCTGCACGCATTTAGTTCAATACAAAATAAAGGATTTTTACCCAATCAGATAGCTAAGAACGTATTAGTTTCTCATTCAAAAATAAAATGATTGATATCAGTATAAAAAGACTTTAAATAACGTTAAGTACAACAAATATTAAATACAAGTTTCGACGGTTTGAAACCTTAGTAATATTGTCTTAAACTGAATATTGTCCGTAATATACGAAAGTCACATTTCAATCAAACACATTTTAACAATTTAAAACTGGAAATATATTTAATAATTAACTACTAAGTTTTGTCCGTAATTCACACGAGTAGTATGAAATTAAATAAAACGCTTTTAACGGCTTGAAACCTGAAATATTTTTGTTAAACTACTAAGTAATTTTCACAAGTAGTGGAGATTTAAATAAAACACTTATAAGGGTTTAAAACGTGAGACGCTGTTAGTAGTACACTAATTTCTTTTATCCTGTATTAGCATTCAGCATTTCATAAAGAAACAAAGTTAATGGAGCGCGTAAAAGGCCCACTTCGTTTAAACCGCGTAGGCGCAGCGCCCAGGGCGGCTATCTACTTGAGCAAATTATAATTTTCAAGTACCCATCGATTTATGGGAACGCGCAACCACAGATAATATGAAACCAATAAGACCATAGAAAACAAACGCGCGTCTTAAATTGAGGCTTACAACAAATAAAAAATACGCTCAGGTGTCCCGATTTTCGACCTATTAAAAACAACGACATTTTGTTTGTTTCTGTTTTATTCGAAGACCACTGCTAAGCGAGAAGAAAGACAAGAATATGGTATATACATATGTATATAGCGAATTGGTAGTAACGGTCAGTTAAAGTCAGTAGATTATATTATAGTTAGATGTAAACTATCTTTAATTGGAGTTTCAATATTTTTGTACGATGAGCCTATCTAAGATAAAAGATAGATAGATAGAGAAGCTATGCTTTGCTTAACATCCTCCCTTACGTTCCTCGTAAAATTAAAATAAAAAAGACCTGGCAGGCACGCAGTTTCCTTTGCAACGTAAATTCTAAAGATGTTTATATTACAAGCGCTTATTTTACAAATCCTTAATTATAAGACTTTTAAACTGTGATTCTATGAATCTTTGCTCCATTTTGTGGTTGCCATTTATTTTTTAAACTAATAACGAGAAATTCTGAACGACCTATACATTAAGTGGTGAAAAGAGATGCAGCAAATAAAAACAACTATAGCTATCATAAATTATGCTTCTTAAGTGCAACAATGTTAATGCATTTTATCTTATTGAGATTGTAACAGTAGGGCAAATACTGTTCGCAAGAGCAATAATAATATATGTAAAATTTTAAACTATACCAATCCATTTCACTATTATGTCATTTGTAGAATAATGAAGTCTTGTTGACTTTTTCAGAAATTAAATTCGTTACATTCAACTCTATCTTCAGAATCGGAAACATCGGGAGTTAAAATCAATTGTAAATAATTTATACATTTCGCGTTTTAAACCGTTAAAATAATAGAGAATACTCTCTGTCAAACCTATTCCATATACTGACATATTCTATATCTTTTGGATTGTATAAATTGCATGAAAATAAAGTGAAGTCGTCGAGTAGACGAGTTGGGTCCATTAGCGTATCGTCATATCTGTCGATTGTCAGCTTGACATGACACCGGGCATACATTCGCAAACAGTACAGTAATGTTTTACAAGAGTAATGTTTCAGTATTGAACAGACTTAGTAATATAATTAAACCCTTTCTCCCTCGCACTGCTCGGATCTATTGACAGGCATTTGACCAAACTGCTGTGCCCGGCCCGACCGAAACAATATTGTTTCCCAAACATGTCAGGCATCACGTTTAACCATTTAGCTACAAAGGCGGTCTAAACAGGGCATTGGATAAAATCTAGATAAAAAATAGGACTCCGACAGTACTTAAATCGGCAACCACAGCGTCCCGTATTGTATTTTTTTAATCTACATAAACAAATTTATAAAATATTATCGTAAGCGACATGTAAAAAATCTGAAATTTCAATATTTCCATTACTTTTTTATTTAAATAAAACACCTTGACGGTTTAAAACGCGATATATTATTTAAACTTATTTGAAAATGATTTTTAACTTCGGCCCGACGTTTCGGATGCTTTGCAGCAGCCGTGGTCACGGGGAGACCATCATCATCATCATTTCTAAATAAGTTTAACTAATATATCGCGTTTTAAACCGTTAAAGTGTTTTATTTAAATGTGTACTACTCGCGTAAACTATAGACAGTATTTACTTTTTTATTATTCATTCGTTAGGTTCTAACTTCTATGGCATTTTCTTATTTTAGTTCCCTCCGCGCCGACAGCAATACGGTTAATCTTTGAACCATAGATAGAGGTTTGAACGTGGTAAGCCAAAAAAATAGGACGTTGAAGAGGTAATGTCCCATTAACGGACATCCCTAGTCCATATAAACATCTTGTGTGGTAAGATTAAATGTACCATATCATAGATGGCTTAAAGGCGTAAAAGCCTACTAAATTGACTTGTATTCAATTTCGAATCAAGGTTATTTAAATTCTATAACATATGTCTATTCAGGCATTCAAAGGCAAGTTATTCGTTACTCGACTTACGTTTTTCGTATTTCGTTTCTTATGGACAAAGCTTTCGACATAAATAACATAATAATTCTAAAAAAAAATATACTTTATTCTCTATAAAATTATAACAATTATTAAGATTTGTCAAAAAAAATCAACAATATGTTTGTCTGTCCGTTCGACGTGATTCTACAGAGGATTCAAAAGAGCAAAATAACCGAGAAAATCACCCAAGGAACTCAGTCTGGCTTTTTTCAACATGTCTTAATATATTTTTGTGAATCTAATGACCTAAAGAGCAATTAATATCACTGCCAGGCAGCCCTGTCATTAAAGAAGTCTTTCGAACAAAAATACGCCTTTTGAGTATTTGGAGACAGTTTTAATTTTATCACTTTTTTGAACTTATTTATTGATAAATTTAAAAACTCAACTGGCAATGTATTATAGATACGAATAGTGCAAATGAATAAGTTGTTCTATGGAGTTTAAGTTAAGTTCAAATTATGCCTATCTTATTATCTAATTTAACTGGGAAATAACTCAGCCAAGCTTTATAATATATTTTCAAATATATAAAAAGATACTTTTAAACCAAAACTATGTTGATGTTGAGTTGATGGATTTTAAACTAAGAATTTGGGGATGGATTTTACAAGACAAAACTGGTGCGGTTTAAAATTGTCCAAAAGCCTTTTATTTAATTTTGAATCCTTTAAAGACAATATAATCCAATAAATGAAAAGCCTACAAAACACTTAAATGTCGTTTCGATTTAAATAATTAAATAATAATAATAGATAAATTATTGAAACACGGATCTTATATCTGCGCTATAATTAATTAACTCGTCTTCAGCTTAAAATATCTCTATCAACAATAGTACATGCTACGTTATATACACGAATCGGAAATATACCAATCTTTTAAATAAAACACTTTAACGATTTAAAACGCGATATATTAGTTAAACTTATTTGAAAATGATTTTTAACTTCGGCCCGACGTTTCGGATGCTTTGCAGCAGATTCAAAACCCTTTTTAAATAAGTTTAACTAATATATCGCGTTTTAAACCGTTAAAGTGTTTTATTTAAAAGTGTACTACTCGCGTAAACTATAGATCGTATTTTATACCAATCTTGTTTCTTAAAATTAGATAAAATAAACGGTAAAAAGTGATAATTACTTATGCAGGGTCGTTTTAACTTCTTCGTTAAGTTACGTGTTACGGCGCGGGCGCCTGTCTATCTATACTCACTGCGTTTCTTACGCATATACCTATCTCCATATTATATTAAATAATTCAACTTTAAATTTAGCGAACCTATACAAAATAATTGCTCTTAAGGTGACACTGACCTCGTGTGTCGTGTCTCCGGTGTGTATCTTCTCCTCTGTTTCCCTCACTCGCTCCGTGACGTTTCTGGTGAGAACCTTTCGCTCGTGGCTCTCTCGAACTTTGCCATCTGGATTGGCAACTATTTGTGATGATACCAAGACTTTCGTACCATTTGGAGCAATGGTTCCATCGGGAGCCGAGTCTAGGGCTAGAACACACAATTTTTTTTATTTGGATATTGATAAAATAATAATTAAAACTGTAATATTTTTCACATGTGATACTGATAACGAGAAATATATATTAGTTAAACTTATTTATAAATTATTTTTAACTACGGCCCGACGTTTCGAATGCTTTGAAGCAGCCGTGGTCACGTGGAGACAACTCGATAAACACGACAGGTTTAACTAATATAATTCACGTTTAAAACCGATAAAATTGCACAAATAATACAAACATGTACACAGTATCATTTGTGTAAATAATTATTATTTTGTGTTAATAGATTCATTAATTTTTTTGACAATGTTACTTGTGTCAGATTTTTTATTAGAAACGGAAATCATTTGTTTAAGTTTTAAAACATTGATTCTTTTAAGACTAGTACATATAAAAGAAGATAAGGTTAAAATGGAAGAAGATAATAAATACCATCCAGGTTTTCGTTAGGTAATCCCACTCCAACTGCATGTGTAGAATCATCTTCTGTTTGTTCTTCAGGTACTCGATGCTGAAAGGAAATAAGATCTCAATAATTATGCAGTATACCGAAGCTATATGCGCGCGAGTGGTTGTAAGCAGCCAATTAACATTTGTGAAGGAACTTCGATGTCCAGCTGTACACCAAAATACTTATTTTTTGTGTATTGTGGCGTCATTAAGAAATACATCATGAGGAAAACTTGTCACAGAATCTTACAAATTGTCATCTAGCAACACAATTTGGACCAGCGTGGTGGGAACTGTTAAGGACTTGAACACATCTATCTTGTAGGTCTATTTTGACAATTATTTTCTAAGGCTCGCGGTGCTAGCATAAGTAAAACACGGACGGTCCCACTCCAAATCGAGTTAAATTTTCAAATAAGTTGAACTTTTGGTAAGTATCTAGCGATTTAAACCGTTAAAGTATTTTATTTAAAGTATTTTTAAGGCTCGTGGCGTTGCGTAGTAATGTTGAGGGAAACGGACTGGTTTTTAGTAAGTATCTCGGAGTCCATATGTCTTGACCCTCCTCGTGGGGTGTAATGGTAGCTTGTGTGGCTAATAATCAAAGGTCGTGGGTTCAATCTCCACCGAGTCCAAGATTTTTTAAATTAATTTATAATTTTGAAACGTGTTCGACTACGTGTGAAAATCTGGATATTAAGTGGGTAAGGAATTTCGAAATTCCGTTCGGGTCACGGATCACCGTCCACAGATGAAAAACCCGTCAAGTTTATTCCTGTTTCAGTTTCAGTTTGTAGATTTCCATGGAAAGGCAAAATAGATCGATAGCGTTTCTTCTTAAAATGTTATAAGGTATTTACCATCAAGTTAACTATATTCTTTCTCTGTCGTCCTCGTTCATAAAAAAAACTTCAGTTCAAAACCTCAGAGTATGTTACACATGAAAGCTTACCTCAGTTTGTTGAAAGTTGGTGGTATGTGTGTCCTCATTGACGGAGGTAGATATCTTTGGTCCAGAGTCGCGGAGGATGCGCCCATCCTCCAAAACCACTTCTCGTTTAACCCGCGTCGCAATCTGACGCGTTGTCGTCACTTCGCTCGTCTTCCGCGTCACCCATTCCTCTGAAATACACCACGATTATAAAAACACAAATTATAGTAATAAAAAACTGTTAAAACAGAACTAGCGAGCGAGTTAAAGAAATATAAATTTCCAAATAATTTAACTAAATAAATCACGTTTTAAACTGTTAAAGTGTTTTATTTAAATGTGCATGGATGTCGATGCGCGTTTGTTGCATGCGATGATTGATTTGGATGCTTTCCATGCGGCACAAATCAAATAATATATAGTTCGTGGTAAAGTATTTTATTTAAAGTATATCTTGACTTTGATCAATTAAATTCAGTATAAGAACTAGTAAGTTTAGATCTCAAAGTACTATATGAAGTGACACAGTAATCTGACCGGATACCCCTATTTTTTTAATAAAATAATTAATATGCTTCAAATCCTAGTCCAATACTAAAAAAAAGCGTATTACCTTCTTTGGTTGTTGCTATTGTCTCACCCGGCTCAGCCTGTGAAAAAGGTATATAATATAGATTTTGCTTACAATAATTATAGAATAAGTAGGGTTGACGTGCTATCTTTCCAAAAAAATATTTCTCTGTATACAAATAATATAAAACATTAATAAGGAAGATCTTAATGTTTAAAAAAAAGTATAATAATTTAATAACAAACACAGTATAATATTGTTAAATTAGAAATACATAACACAGTATGTTATGTATTTCTAATTTTGTGCAAACTTGTATCAGCGCCATCTCTTACCGAATAGCCAAAGCTGTAATCGTCTAAGTTTAATCGTTCTGCTGGTAGAGATTTAAAACGCAAAAGTACCCGTGGCCGCCGCTTGATGGCGCCATGTTCGCTTAACGTAAAAACTGTCACCATTAAAAAACATGCAACTGCACTTTTTACTACGTTTTTTAAAGTCAATAGCAAATTATAAAGGCCGCTAACATCGTGACTACTCAAAGATGTCTATTATTCCATAGATAAATCTGAAAATAGTTAATACACTTCTTGAACACTTTTAAATACCAATTTAACACAAAACCGTTGCGAAATATCGACCGTAATAGTTTAATTCGCGTGTTCAATACCTCTGCTTGTAATTGACTGAGGACAAAAGATGGTTTAGCTGTAACGTAATTAATGAATCGTGTGGATTAACATTTTCTATTGGCACCTGCTATATTTCATAGGGTTGACTGTCTACAATATCAGTACCTACGTAAAAATATCGATTTATTACTTATTACCCACACCACTTGCGTAAACTATAACAACACTCAAAATTAATCGACGGACACAAAAATATGTCAGCGCTTTTACGGCTGTTCTGCGCCCCAAATAGGAAAAACATTTAAGATATTCTCAACGCTAATTTATTCGTTTGGATGTTTTAAAAGCGTTGCATCGTAGTTAAAACTATTTTTTTATTATTTTATTTTATGTTCAGGGTTAGTTATATTACTCGTAAATAGTGAAGTCCCGTTTCCACTACTGGAAGGTAGGGTGAAAACGTAACCGTATCCGAACGTTAAGATTGTACGTTTTTTAATACTGGAGCTTTTTTGCTTTACCGGGCTGAAAAACATCATTTTCAAATGGTATTCGAATCAAGCACCTCTCTCGCTAAAGACGACACAAGGCCACGTGTCTAATCATTAAGCTACATAGGCGAACGACATATTTTTTACTGATGATGTGAATGCCTAATGCACGCCCACATCGGACAATAGTGAGGTGGGGAGTGTAGTAAATCGTACTGCACCCTTCTCGGAGACAATAGCCGACCAGAACCTTTAAACACACCACCAGCCCGCTAAGGTGTTCTAAGGGGGCTCTGGGAACACGTTAGGCGACACCCCTAAATGCAAGCAACGCATGAGTATTCCACTAGTCGCGCGGTCACTTCCGTTGTGACTGCCGCGCACGTTCGTTCGCATATCACGCGCGTTTCATTTCAAAAGCTATCAATTTTATAGCTCCACATACCAAATAAAACGAGAAAATAATTGATTTGACAACTTCTGTTTCCGTTTTTCGGCGTGTACGGGTTGGGTGTAACGGACATTTTTTATATCGGCAAAATGCCTAACATTTATATATATATATATATAGGTATTGGATAGATCGTAAACATTACATAGTTTTTAAATAAAACACTTTAACGGTTTAAAACGCGATATATTAGTTAAACTTATTTGAAAATGATTTTTAACTTCGGCCCGACGTTTCGGATGCTTTGCAGCAGCCGTAGTCACGGGGAGAAATAAGTTTAACTAATATATCGCGTTTTAAACCGTTAAAGTGTTTTATTTAAATGTGTACTACTCGCGTAAACTATAGACAGTGTTACATACATAATTATTAGACTGTTAAAGTAACGTAACGTACAAAGCTTCAAAACCGATTCCGTAGTACACTACTATTATTAACTATAAGAAAGTATTAGTAATAACTCGCTATACGTGTACACTCAATAAAATGTATCTAAAATATTATAAGAATTCACTTTCTTAAGACGAAATTCTTTCTATTAGATAGTTCAGTGAAGCAAAACTGATAGAGACAAAATGCATACCGCGTCCATTCTTATTGAGATAATATCGTAAATCACGCAGCGATCTTCAACATGTTCTATACAAGTTTCCCATTATTTACTTTATGACAGTGGTAAACAGGCAACCCTACGTCATGATGTAATAAAAAATACAGCCATAATACATCAAAACAATATGAATTGTCGATTTACTTTAATTATGAACATTCAGTTGTTATGTTACCGGGATAGATAGATGTTTTCCCGGAGTTCGAACTTAATGATCGATTTATTAGTTTAACTATACAACATAGTAACTTGTCATATGACAGTGATATCTCTTAGTGAAAGCAGTGAACACGTGTGTTTATTGGCCGCGCCCTTGCTTGTGCACTATGCACTGTGCAGTGACCAGTGCAACGGCGCAAGGTTGCCTGTGGGCATTGTGATGCGCTCATGACAAATTATTGTGCGCATGCGCAATTGGGTCACGGCTTTACTTTATTAAATATACGCTAATAATCATTACTAACATTTACTATCAAGACTACATAGAAATAAACAATACATTATACAATTATGTTTAAAACACTTTAACGCTTTGAAACGCGAAATATACTAGTTCGAATTAATTGAAAATCAGCCGTAGTCACGGGGAGGCCACGGCTTCTGTAAAGCATCCGAAACGTTGGGCCGAAGTTAAAATTTATTTCAAATAAATTTAATTATAACAAATATATTCCGCGTTTTAAACCTTTAAAGTGTTGGACTTTGATAAAGGAATAGTTTAATGTTTTTCACATGTTATTGCACATGATGGTACTATATAAATTTAAAATTGATCTTAGATTTATACAACATTTTCAGGACTATAGCAAAATTGGTGAGAGCAACAGAACGATATGCGGTGGATGCCGGTTCATGCCCTGCCCGCGTCGTAAATTTGTATTAATCTAAAATCGATTTTTATTCAACATATATTTAATTATAATTATACATAATATATCCCATGCCCATTTTGGAAACGATATTTTAACGCCGTAAAATAAAGAACATAAAGTTGTCTATAATTTTCGCAAGTCATTAAACAAAACACGTTTAACGGCTTAAAACTTAATAACATAAGATTTTTATGTAGCAGGCGTGGTCTTGAAAACAAAGATGAATACTGATACATACATCCTATTTTAAACCGTTAAAACTGTTTTAAGTGCACTACTCGTGTAATCTACAGACACTACTTTTCGTCGAATTAAAATTTGTAGATGTTATAATTCGGTATAACTCTCGAGAGAAATGACCCCGCAAGACCACGTCAAGTCGTTTCAAGCCCGTTCGCCCCATTCATTTAATTAGCAAGGGTTCAATACAAAAGCCTTCATACCTCGCTTACAACCCCGATTTGCTTGTGGCTATCTACCTATCTCCATTGCCCATCAATATCGAATGGCTTACTTTAGAACAATAGCACTATACTCCCGCTACGTCAATACAGAGCAGCAAAATCATTCACGGAATTATAATACTTGTTTCAATATAAATAAGAATGTTTATGGCGTGTTTGTATTGTCAGTATGGCGTGCGTGGGTGTATTATTTAGTCGCTAAAATGGTGTATCACCTTGTAGGTCGAATACAATAGACGGTATCAAGTAAATATCTTGTTATAGTTGATTTAATGACCTCTGGCGGAACTATTATAATCATATCAATATTGTGATGTATACTGTAATTAATTTTAAGTACGTACTCGATTTTGATCATATAAGACGTATGTATGCGATGGCATGGGTAATTTTCTGTCTGTCTGGAAAGTCTAAGTGTAGTTTAAAACAAAACCAGTCAGGTGTGAGCTTGACCCCTGTACAGGTTCCGTACCGATATATTTCAAGTAACATTTCATGAACAGCGTTATTTAAGAGAACTTTTATCTATATACAGAAACTATGAACTTGCATTCTGAATGTTGTAGTTCACAAATAGACGGACGGACATATTGCTAAGTCTTAGTAGGTACACATTGAGACAATTCGTAGACACTTTGCGTATAGATCTCCAAATCTCTCAAGGACATGAGTTTAGTTTTTTTTTTTTTTTAAATTACTATTTCCTTAATATTCCATATTATCTGTTTTAAACGCGTGTAGTACACATTTAAATAAAACACTGTAAACGCGAAATATTGTTGTAGGTTTAGCCGCGGCAAAGCATCCCTTATGGCAGCTCTACACTTTTGTTGTACTACACAATGGCGCAAGCAAAGCTCAATCAAAACTTCTTTCGGTCGCAACATGATATTTTATAGCGTAGTCTTTTTGGATTAATCTAACCAACAAAATGATTTTTGATTCGATCCAGTAGTTCCTACGATAAGCTCGTCCAAGCGAACAAAATCTTCAACTTTATAATATTACTATAGATGCATTAAATCAGTTTTAAAATGATCTTGGAATTATTATGTTTCTCTATTATTATAGTTGTCCGCCCAAACCAGAGTTATTGCAGCATGCTCATTTGCAAGCATTTATACGTAAAGGTCAAGCCAAATATAGCGAGTAGATTACCAAAATGACTAGAAGCCCAAGAGGGCATATAATATTTCGATATTATGACAGAGGTCAGACTAATCGACAAGCCATATCTTGTAGGAAATCTGATTGATATTTCCAAAACAAAGAACGTTGTACGGATTGTGAAAGCAAAGTTAGAGGTTGTACATAATTATTATAATTTGAACCATTATATTATCAAACTTATTACATGAAACGCCGATATAACCTAGTTTATATAAATAATAATTAGCAAAATGTGTTGCCTACATTTGTGATAAATTATTCTCGGGTAGGGCACAAAGGCAGAACATAAGTTTGAAATCCCATGTCCCCGATATAGGGCTAAAGCTTAAATAGGTCAACAACGCACCGAATTGAGATCTTATACGGGTGATATCACCTTCCATCAAAAC